GCTTGATGGTGCCGCTTGAAAAGGTGTCATCGATGTAGGTATTGACTTGGTAATCCACAATAGAGGAGCGAGGGAATGGGATGAGGTAGACGTCTCTGAAGATACCAGACAGCCACCATTGGTCTTGATCTTCGATGTAGGATCCATCGGACCATTGGTACACGCGAGCAGCGAGGGTGTTGGCTTCGCCAGGGGTGAGATAGTCCGTGATGTCAAATTCGTGGGAGTTGCGGCTTCCTTGGCTGTAGCCGACCTCCTCGCCGTTGACCCAGACATGGAACGCGCTGTCGACGCCTTCAAAGCGGAGACGGATCTGCTGGTCCTCGTCCCAGTTCTCGGGGATCTCAAACTCTCTCCAGTACGATCCGGTGGGGTTCACGTAAGAGACGTTGGGCGGGGTCACCGGGAAGGGGTAGTCGATGTTGGTGTAGTGAGGGTAGCCGTAGCCCTGGCGCTGCCACATTCCGGGGACCTCGATGTCGTCCCATGAGGTTGTGTTCGCGGTTTCCCAGATGGGAGCCTCGAAGGGGCTCTGGTCGTAGTGGAACTTCCAGGTGCCATTGAGACTGAGATACTCGCTCTGGTAGCGGTCAAAAGAGAGAGCGGCGTCCTCGCTGGCGTAGGAGTAGAAGTGTGCACGCGGAGCAAGAGTGTTGCGGTGCAAGACGTTCAGATTCGTCCAGTCCGGCAAAGCACCCGGGAAGCTTAGACCCGAGATGAGGTCCATGGTGATCACAAACGAACTCTGGTGAGCGACTTGGAAGACCTGCTGGTGCCGTGGCTCTCCTAGGACCTGGCTGCCGCCGACAACCGCCGCACGACCTTTATACCGCGCTCCATAACCTCTCTAGTTTCCATTGCCCAGTTCTTTAGTGTTCTAGAAAGAGGAACTCTTACTACTAACGCCTCGGCAGAGAATCTTGACGTAAAGGATCAGCATTCCCGGGCATTCTCACGACTCCGGCTGGGCGCATGTCACGATCATGTCGCTGCGCCAAGAATCAAAAGAATCCCAACTGCCCCTCATTTGCACCGGTCGTCCAACCTGACAGCGGAGTGTTCCTCAATCGCGGGGTTCACGTGGGCGGATATGACGACTCTGAGTAGCATCGGCGATGCAAAAGTCCTCGTTTATGCGGTGATGCTTGGAATCGAAAAGCTGGGCAGCGGGGGAGAAGAAGCAAAGTCTGGGTCAAAATATGCATATTTCCGTTGTTTCCCCACAATCGGTGGACCGTCGTTGTCTGTGTCCGGTCCCGGTACCCCCGCGATCGACACGAGAGCGGGAAATAAGGCGACAGGCAGTGGTTGTGGTGTGACCGTCCATCGGGCCATTCAGACTCCGATGCAGTGGTGTGTGTAAGTCAAAGTCCATCGGTGATCGGGAGTGGCCCGACTTGCTTCAGTCGGCTCATCTATCTGCGAGCTTTGGAGATGTGGAGTTCATCGGATCATTGGTTGAGCTGCTGATGTAATGGTTCCGCGTCACATCGCCAAGAGCCTTCGAGTGCTTAAGTTCATCCGACGGAAAAGGCATGCCAAGACCTCGGCGGGTCCCGAGAAACATGAGATCATCGATTGGAGCAATGCGGTCGCAGAGGAAACAGACCATGCCAATGATCCTCTTAAGAACCCAAGTAAACTTGTAAGTCATTCACAAGAAGTCTTCATGTATAATTTCAATTTAGGTACTCAAGACTGCATCGTGTGGATAACAATCCTGCAGTCGCAGTTCGAAGTGCGGCATTACGGGAAGCGAATATGAGCAGGCACAAACATGGAGTGCTCCGAGGAAAAGAGGTTCTTCATTTTGTGCCTTCAAAATCGGAGTTTGTGTCCGAGTTTCAGATTCCGAATCAGGTGTGTCGTTTCAGTCTCATGGTGTCGGCGCCATCATACACACCGTGCGGTGCTTCCGAGAACCTTCTTCTTGAAGCAATGATGATCCGCAACCTTGTACCAAACCTACTTGACCTGAAAGTAGGGCTCTTCACTCACTACACAGAAATCTCACAGGCAACTGCTGGTTGTTATATCACCTGAAAGTCTGAGTAAATTAAAAGCTTTCGCCTAGCGAGCGTTAACACTCACATTGAGTTCGCGACCCGGGGAAATATTCGTGATTATGCAATTAGAACCGTTTCTTTCCGCATTGCCAGCGGGACTGGTCCCACACGGCCAGACACAATAGGCACGATAAGAACCACAAAAGATGTGCCGGGTCCCGATTGCTTAATGCGTTTAAAGTGTGCCGTAAGATCCGATACTTAGCCTTAAAGCACCGTCCCCTGCACAAGACTTGCAGCTAGAGTGCGGGCATCAGCCTTGTTCAGAATTTGAAGTCTTCAAAGAAGGTGGGGTCACGTCAATCGAAATCCGGCTCGGATGGCAGTAAGATTATGAGCAAATTCTGGATCGGACTCCAATAAGAGGCCGTCAAACTAAGGAGTCATCCGTGAAGACGAAAGAAAAACTTTGTCTTAAGAGATTGTCAAGTAAGTGGAAGAAAATTCGCGGAGAAACGCGCCTGCAGTTCGATTAAACATACTGCAATTGTTAGAAAGTAGCCTAGTGTTTCTGGTTCGTTTGGAACCAACCCAATCAAGTCCGTCGCTCCACCTCGGAGAAAATGAGCTGAATCGAAACCGAGATAGATTGAAATGACTCAAGGTATCTAACTCCGAGTCTAGAATCGAACGAGATGCGACATAGACACAGCATCCCACTTACTTCCACGGCCATGGCCTTGCATTCATGTAGATGCTATTAACCCAACTCCAGCCATCCAATTTGTCGATCACTGAAAAGTTCTTATAGAACATCGCTGCGAAATGTTCGTATCAATACTTTTCGGCGTTGTTTTGCTGATTCTTTCTGCTCGCGGGCAATTTGTCGCCCAGCCAGCGGACCTCAAGACGGTCAAAGGAGCGGCAGGAACCACTGTTCGATTTAAAGAAGTACCCAACGGAATATGCGAGACCGACCCGAATGTCAAGACCTTTGCCGGCTACGTGGATGTCAGCCCGACTCAACACATCTACTTCTACCTAATTGAAGCGAAGCAGAATGCGACCTCCACACCTATGACGATCAGACTGGATGGGGGCCCGGGGGCTTCGTCAATGGGAGGACTCTTCCTCGAGCTCGGGCCTTGTACCATTGATGCGAGTGGAAAGGTGGTGAATAATCCAAACTCCTGGTCAGCCATTAGCAACATGCTGTTCGTCGACCAGCCAGCAACTGTCGGCTTCTCGTTCACCAAACTGGTCAACGGCACTATCAACCCCAAGACCGCAGAGATTATTCCACAGCAGTGCACGTTAGCGGATCCGATGTGTGGCACGTACTCCTCCATGGATCTCTCTCTGACGCCGAACTCAACGGAAGAGGCTGCCAAGGTGTTCTATCAGGTTATGCAAGGAATCATGGGCGCCTTTCCTCAATACACAGCAAACGGCGTGCATATCACAGGCCAATCCTACGGCGGTCATTACGCACCGATCTTTGCTGACCACATCATGCTGCAAAACCAGCTCGGCGTACCCGATACCGTCAACGTACCCTTAAGATCCATTTCTATTGAAGATGGGTTCATGGATAGTCGCGTGCAATTTGGTGCATACTTCAACTACTCAGTATCGCCAGGAAACCCGTACGATATCATGCCATTCAACGATACCCTCCGTCAAAAGCTTTTCGCCAACATGTTTGGCGCCGGAGGCTGCCAGGAAAAACAGACAGCATGTAACAGTAACCCTACAGACAAGGTGTGTGCGGACGCGGACGCCTTTTGCATCAAGGAGGTTGAGGAGTTCTGGGACGTCAACACTGGTCGCTTCGAGAACGACATACGATTGCTGGCACCAGCTCCCTACCCGGCACGGGATTTCATCGCATATCTCAACCGAGCCGACATCCAAGCAGCCATCGGGGCCTCGAACAACTTCACCGCCGCCTCAGTGCAGACCAGCATCGCCTTCAGCTCGACCGGCGATGACAGCCGCACAGGCGCGCTCGTCATCCAGTCAATGAAGAATCTCCTCCAACAAGGTGTCACCGTCGCGCTCTTTGTCGGTGACGCTGACTATGACAGCAACATCATTGGCGCCCAAATGGTCGCTGCTGAAGTTGGAGCCGCGAACTGGGGTTCTGCGGGGTTTGTGGACTTGTCAGCGAACAGCGACGGGCAGGTTCCTGGCCAGGTGAAGCAAGCTGATGGATTTTCTTTTACGCGACTTTACTTTGCGGGGCACGTCTCTGCATTTAGCCAGCCTGAAGCCGCGCGCCGAATACAAGAACGCGTAATCAAAGGGGTGGATATCGCGACTGGAACAATGCCGATGGTGTTCGGGAAGAATTTGATCACGAAGGGACCACCGGAAAGTCTGCTCAAAGAAGGGATGGCGACGGTTCAGACCAAGCCTCTGCCTAAGGGTACAACTTACGATCCACACACTCATCTGCCTGTGCTACCGGGACGATCAGCTGTGGTAGACACCAGTGTCGCCGCTCAGGTTGATGGGGATCAGGACACAAAGGATCATCCGCTGGCATTTATGACGGCGAAGAATATTAGGAAACTTGTCAGAGAGAAAGAGTTGCTTATGGGAAGTTGAGCAAAGAATGTGGTCTTGATTGGCATGTTAGAAGTACACTTACGAAGTATGGTAGTGGTTTTAGTGCTCAAAATGTTGACTGAGCATACTTCACAGAGGTACGCCTGTACCTCAGCGCCAACTGTATCCAAACCCGTGCAGGATCAAACGTGGATATTCAACTCAGCAATGACCAAACACAATCATAAGGCAAATTTGGAATGAACGTGAAGCAGAGCAGCTTAGATACTCGATTGACAAAAAACCAAAAAGGCATGACTGCCAGCGAGTCGAAGAAATTCGGAAAGAGATCTCTTAATAAAACCACTTCATAAAAGTCGATAGCACCCCTGTCACAACTTATCACGGTTAACAAGCATGAATGAAAAATTAGAAATATCTCCATCACCACTCACCCTTTCCCCTTCGCGTTGGTATCGGTGCCAACATTCTTGGGCTGGCATCACGCACTTCCATATCACCCGACAAACTTTCTTCGGGGGTGTATATTACTGCTTATTGACGTGTTAGCTGTCACATCAGACGTGACTCCCTATCTCGTACTGTAGGGGCATTATCCAGATTAAAAACTAAGAACTAGCTTACTCTCTGCAGTTGAGGAAGCGGAACTTGGAGACGGATTGGTATCTTGATGGTCAAATTTCTTCAGGGATCGCAAAGCCTCCTGAAGAAGTCTCATCTTCTTCGCTAAAAGCACGTTTAGTAAGTAATGTATCGCCAGAAAGGTCTAGCCAGGTGTTTACCCACCTGTCATACGTTTCTCTCTTCCGCTATGCAGCGCCATTTCAATTTCTCCAAGAATCTTCGAAACGTCAAGAATTCCGTCGAGTTCCAGTTTCGACTTGACGTGGCTAAAGAAACCTAGACTCTGAGACAAACGGCGCACGTCCTCAGTTTCTGGGTGCCTGCAGCGAAAGTTGAATTCGTCTAGCGCGTAGGGTCTCTGAACGCATGTCTCTTTTTCTTCTTTGTCTTCCAAGATAAACCAACCGAAGCTGAAATCATGACCACGACAGCGGTTTTGAACAACTGCTCTGAGTTGAAGAGCATCACGTGTTGTCAAATATGCTGCGCGTGCCACAAAAACTGCCATTGTTCGATTGCCGCCATCACGAAAATTCTTCCTTTCTTCAAGTAGTCTGCTCAGCTTGGACGACTTGAGAGTGGAAATATCGTCATGGGCGACCAGAATTGTGTTGCGAGACTTCGTCAATTGATGAACGAACCGGTCGCTGGCGTTACGATCGGGCCATTGAGGAAAGTCCAGAATGACCATTGATCCGGGGCAAGGCCGTTGAATCTCGACTCTAATGACATCTTTTATTGTGAGGCTGTCTTCTCCAAGTTCCCTTAGTTGAAGAATCAGTCGACCGAGTAGAAACTCGAATAGGGCGTCCCCGTCCGAGTCTTCGTCACCTACTTCGTCTTCGAGAGCAGGTATGAACACTTGCTCATCTATGCACCCTCTGTATGCAGGAATGATTGGCATTTTGATAGAGGTTCTCTTCGAAGGTGTCAGAATAAACTCCATGGTGAATTCGTTGCCTAAGTACTCTTTCGGCAGTGGAAGGCCAGTCAGCGCCATGATTACCGTCTGTTTTGCTGAGTCGCTGCTTCCAAGAAGAACCACCCTTGGGAGGTCGATGTGCTGACTCAGCCCTTGAACATGAAGGCCAACCAGCGTCTTGAACAGATCATTCTTTTCTTCCCCTGATGATGGCATTGTGATGTGCTTTGGTTAGCTGATATCAGATAATGTTAAGCTAGCAGACGACTTTGGGGAAGCAAATGACATGTCTAAAGAGCGTTTTTGAGGAATGAAGGAGGAGGGGTACGGAAACCGCGAAATAATTTCCTCTTTAAGGTCAACAGTTGACGTCATGCATCAACTCTCACCGGTAGCGAAGGTCCTGACGCGTAAGCGCTTGGGCGCCAATAGATTCCAGAGCAAGACCTCAACAACAAGTTCCCATGAGGGACTACATGCACTTCAGAAGTGACTGAAAACGAGATATGAGATGATGACTCAACTTTGGGGGAAAGCAGGCAAGAGGATTGTATGTGACGCGGATGGAAAGATTCGAAATGCGATCTTGCACTGCATCCTTAAAAGGAATCTCACTGGGAAGCTAGAACCAAAGCCAGAGCCATTGAACGACTTCAATGCTAGAGTGCAGTGTAGAAAGGATGATCATGGTTCTGCTTTTGTAGACTAAGCTTTCGGTGAATGTCCAAAAAATACAGCAAGTCGTCTACCTCCAGCGGGAGGCCTACCAGATCGGAAAGTATTTTGAGACTCGTGCTCAATGAATTGAGTTCCGGCCCCACAGCGGGAGGCCCACCACGTCCAATCCGGAGAATCAGTATGGATGCTAACATGAATTTTGTTTCGGAACAATCAAGAGCGCAGAATGCGGGCCATGGTCAGGAACGCCCGGTTCGGCGCCTTCAAGTTCGCCGCAAATAAGTTTGAAGCTTATTTGCATACATGAATGGACATTGTGCAACCCCCTATGGAAGCTTATGGGGTCATTTGCTTGGACAGTCAAGGCTTCTGTTTAATCAGCTTTCTGCTGGTGATGATTAAGGCCTCTGGTTTGCCGTATCGCGAAACTTCTCACCCCGACTGATTCATTTATTGATCCGAGAGCGTTCTGTGAACAAGACGAGAGTCAAATGATGTCAGGACTTGATTTCATCGTCAGTTGTGCCCGAACAAAGACTGTAGATACCACTTCCTTCATGCCGAAGAATAGCCGAAGAGCGGAGATACCCCGTTGGAAACTCGGATAAACCACGGGCAGTGTAAGAGCGATGGCCGGCCAATGGACTCTGCTCTAAGAAGAAACCATGGGAAGATTATGTAAACGTACCTTAAATTTGTCGTTCCTTGGGCCATCTGCTTACCCTGTTGGGCTATGAGAAGAGATTGTACGCAACCTATCTCGTGCATTGCTGCTCGCGGCGAGCCCGGCCGGCATTTCACCGATGGTCCGTGCCCACTGACCTTTGGCGAATTCATTCACAGAATCTCAACTAGTGAGTCTGTCCTTGTTTCCACTGGTGACAAGGGTTGCTCGCCTGATAAGTGAAATACCTTGAAACATTCGACGCCGGCCAAAGCGATTTTCTTGCAAGCTTTCGTTGGTGCGCCGCTGATTCCCGCATGTGTAGGCAGGTGTAGCCATCGATCCGTCGTGGTGGGACCTGGCGTTCGGCAGGAGCGAGCAAACTATCCATGCTGGTTAGCACCGGGAAGCGCGTATCTACATCATTCTTTAATATTGCGGGAAGCCATGGCTTTCACCTCCGATGCACGGTAAACAGCATAGCATCCTGCGGCTCGGAGTCGCATATCAAAGAACTTTCGAGTGCACCCTGCAGTTGTGATTAAACTCGGGCAGAAACTCTCCACATACAGTTTGGAGGGCCTCCCGCCTATCGTCCTATCCTTGGCTTGCGATTCGTCTCAGATTGAGAGGGGAGAAACTATAATGACACTACTTGCTTACCTACGACATGTACTCTGGTATTGTTGGTCCTAACGTATTGTTTCGGTTAGAGCTTTGAAGCCTCGAGATGTACCGCCGCTCCATATGATTTTCCATCTCATTAGCCGTATCGGCATTCCTGTTTACTGAGCTTTAGACCAAAATCTCTCGGGGTTTGTTCAACATCACCCAAAACAACCACACACGCTGGCGACACATCGAAGACACAATCCCACTATTCCAGGCAAAGTCCCAGGCAGTCAGTTATTCGCTACCATCAGCGCCTCATAATGTCTTTCAACCATCAAATGAACAGCGAGTAACCCATACCCTACAAGATCTCTTTGTCGAGGGCTTGGGCGAGCACGTCAGCGTACCGATGTTAGTGCTGTGCGGCGACAAAGATTCAGCGAAGCGCACCGTCGTTCAAGCCTTGACTGGTATCTCCCCACCTCCAGAGTATTTTAATCATCGTTTTTGTTTTTTTGAATTCATCATTAATCGGCCAGAGCCGCCATCAGAGAGGGCCTCCATCAAAGTATCAGTTCTTCCAGCATCAGACAGGACCGAGTACGACAAGATGAAAATGAGTGCTCTCAGAGACGACTTGGTGTCCGCCGATTGGTATTGGCGCCCGCTACTGGAGTTTCTCATCGGCAGAACCATCGTGGAATTGAATGAGATTGGGAACGTCACTATTCAAGGCATCCTTAGAGTTCAGATTCAACATGAAAGTCTGAAACCACTGGTCCTTTTGATTTGTCCCAAATTGCCTCCCTCCGATGGAGTCAACCCAAGCTACCACCACCGCAAAGCCCGGCTACTCGCCCACGCACGAAGTCCTCGCAGCGTCACCTTAGTCGCCTACGACGATCTGCCAACTCTAAGAAGTTCAATGATCAACGGTATTCTTAGTGAAAATCTCAATGGAGGCGGGGACCGAACGATGGCTGTTTTCGTCGTTCGCCCAACCTTGAGTCTCGAGGACGCTGAGCAGGTCGTAGCGGTGACTTCGAATGTCTGCCGAGGTCATACTTTCAAACTAGGGTGGCAACTTGCTGGAGGAGACTGGAAGTTCCGTCGCAATATCTATCCTTCACAAGTATTTCCCCTCTATCTTTGGCTCGTGGATGCCACGGGTAGTCTCTGGTTCCCTCAGCACCCACTTTCGCGATCACATCCAGTCTCAGTTCGAACATGGTGCTATCTGTGCTACATGTAGCATTGTGGGCATCCGACAAAAGGTGGAACAGAAGCTTGCCAGATTCAGAACGCAATACGAAAATGCGGTGAGCGCTGTTAAGGAACATTATATGTATAGCGATGGGTGGAGGGAGGGAGTGAGGTTGCGGGATGCGTCAGAAAAGGAATGCGCGCTTCTCGAAAAATGTGTACGGTCCCTGGAAGGAGTTGATAACCACCAAACAACTCCAACTATCAGTGCCGCCTCTTCTAGCATTGATCGTGAGTACATGTTTCTCTTTAGCCAGTTTGCTCTCTTTCCTCCTGAGGTTTACTAATCTTCCCCAAAAGTGATCAAACCTCAGGCGGTATTCCTGCATGGGCTCACATCCCTTTTGCATCTCTTATCGCTCAAATGAAGACATGCTTCTGACCAGCTCATTTATAGCTATTGATACGCCCGGAAAATCTGAAATAGAAAGTGAAACGGCATCTACTCAATGAGTATGGTCCACCATCTGTCTTGAGGAATAGTTCGTGGTAGTCGGGAATCGAAAGTTTGGCTAGCAGTGCGAATCGACGCAATTTATAGCAAAGAATTCGACTAAATGAATGAATAAGTAAAATTTGAAATGCTCTCTGTCGTCCGGATCACGGATCTTTGCGGACGCGAGGTGGATCCGGAATGACGGCGTGTTGTGGGTCACGATCCGCCTGTCGGCGCCGAGCTGCCTGTTCCAATGCGATGTTTACTCAACCTCATGCTTTCTTGGTGGCGATTTCTCCATTTCAAAATCATTCCACTTACCGAGGTCTCCGCCTATCGCTCGGAATCTACTATATAAACGATGGAAATGCATCGTCCAATTACTCAGGGGCAGAAAATGCTTTGAAACGGTCCTGTCTGCCAACGTAACTACACCCAGGTGAACACCACGTCAACACCTCCCTCTCGCTCGGACTTCTCTAAACACAGTCTTTTGCCTGCAACTACTTTATCATGCTGAATACTCGCCGAACTTCAGCGTTAGCTGTCGGAATCGTTATTGCAGCAGCGCTGGTGTTTACCGGCGCGTTTCATCACCCCTTGCCCAAGAAAGGAAGTCCCGAC